CATTTGCATTGTTTCTCTTCCTGTAACCATGGATGCCTTAATATAGGCATTAAACAAAAAGCAGTTTCATAGAACCCCTGATTTTTTTCTGCTAATCTAATGAAATATTCAGAACTATCTCAGCTCCCTCCTTCTGCCCCACTTAGACAAATAATAGCCTTGCTAAACTCAAGACTTTCAAGGTTATTGGGAACTTCCCAGGCCCTCTAGTACAATTTGTAACCTATGAAGTGGAAGGAAAACATCACCCCATATTAACTGGTGGGGAACAAGTGTGGTGTGGAATCATGTCTACTGTCTTGGTGAAGTCTCATATTTTTTTTTTCTTTGTATAGTCTCCCTGTCTTAACCCTATAATGCCTGCATTTTTAATATCAGGGAAAAATGTTTTCTTTCTATTCTTTACTTTTATAGTTATCAATATATATATTAATATGTACATTTAATTAAGTGTTACGAAAACATCGTGCTTGGCATTATAGGGTTAAAAAAAAGACAGAAATGTCATTCTCAATTGAGAAAATGTATTCCCCTGCTACTAAATAGGTAGTGGATAAGACCTGACATTTAGCTTATAATTAGAAAAAATAAAATTCAAAAAATATTTATTACACTGGAAAAGGAGGAAAGATGAGTTTCAACAAGTAGAAAATATTAGGAGTATGTCTCCATGCAAGCTAGTAAAACAGCTCCAGGGAGGAAGTTGCATTATTGATTGAGACCCTATAGCTGTGTGTTACTAACAATTATCTCTGACCTTTCCTCCACTTGTTGTTGGGGCTTTATTTATCTATTTATTTATTTTCCCCCAACAGTCTTATTGGCATATCATCCGCCAAGGTTTTTCATAGGGCTCTTTATGTGTAAGACATTGCTCTATTCTCAGATTTCATTGCTCTATTCTCAGAGTTCTTGAGACTTAACACCAAATCTTCATGAGCCCTCGAGTGTTTCAGAATGCTGCTTTTGACATTGTAAAGACAACAGTTGGTGCAGAGCACGCCTGAGTCAAGCCCTGTGCTGCTTCTGAAGCGCGTGGGAGGCGTGAAGAAGGGGCCCGGATCTGGCGGGGCTTGACTCTCTACCCACTGTCAACCGAGTCCCCTTGTATCTGTTTTCACTTTGGGGAGCGTTTCCTTAAGCTTTCACTTCAAACAAACCATTTATGGAAGATGGGGGCTGGGGGCAGATCTCTAGAGCACTAGGTAGCTAAATAAATTCTGGTTTTTGAAAGATTACCTTCACTGCCAGTTCAGAATAAACTGTCGCAAGTCGAAGATAGCGTAGGCCAGACACTGTCCCAGTCATCCAGGTAAGAAATGGTTACTTTGGGCAAAGGAGTGTTCAGGGAGGAGGTCGGATTCGACATCGATTCTGCAGGTTGAACCAGCAGGATTTGTTTGTTGGAATAGATCTGGGGTATAAGAGGGGAAAAAGGAACGACTTCAAGCTTTTTGTAGCAGCTAGAGCAGCAGTTCTCAACCTGTGCGTGGTGACCCCTTTGGAGGTTGAACCACCCTTTCACAGGGGTCACCTAAGACCATCGGAAAACACATATTTCCCATGGTCTTAGGAACCGAGACACCGCTCCTGGATCTGTCTCTAGGCGGTCCGCCCACACGCAGATATGCCCACATAAGTGTACGCGGCGTGAAGAGTGTTACCCATGCTATACCATGCTTCAAGACAAAATTTCATTAAATAGTAATTAGAAAGAAATATTTCACAATATTTAATTACATATTGTTTTGTGATTCATCACTATGCTTTAATTACATTCAATTTGTAACAATGAAAATACATCCTGCATATCAGATATTTACATTACGACTCATAACAGTAGCAAAATTACAGTTATGAAGTAACACTGAAAATAACTTTTTGGTTGGGGTTCTCCACAACATGAGGACCTGTATGAAAGGGTCGTGGCATTAGGAAGGTTGAGAACCACTGAGCTAGAGGATGGGGTTGCCATTGATGCAGTTGGGGAAGATTGCAGGGAAATTTTGGACATCTTAACTTTCATGGGCAAATACATTATTGTACACTAAGTGAAAAAAGCATCAGGTTGGTAGCTACATACTCATATATGAATCTGAAGTCTGGGGACCTGGTCCTGGCTCACTATATAGATTTGGGTCCTACCAGTAAAAATAGTGTTTCAATACATGAGACCACCTAAAGAATGAGTATAGAGAAGAAAGAGAGGCTTGAAGACTTGGGTCCTGTAGGACTCAGGTGTTTACAGTTCCAGGAGAAGTGGATCTATTCAAAGAACAGCCAGTGATGGAGACGAATATGAAGGAGCAGGTGGTGAAGGCAGGTGAGGACGGTGAGGTGGTGTCCTAAGTCCAGAGCAGGCTCCTTGGAGCAATAGGAGCAAGGCCCACCTGGAGTGGGTTTCCACCGGAGCTCCTTATTTCCACGCTACGGGTGGGCCTTCTAGCTCGGCTCATGTGTCTGGTTTCTTTGTTAATATGCCTTTACCTGTAAGAACTCTAATAAACAACGACTCATTGTCAACAGATACGGGTGGTTCCTTATTTGTTGGCAAAGGGCATCTCTGAAGGACAATAGCAAGTAACTCAGAGTGTCCACAGCCCGCCAGTAGGAGAAAGCCCAACGTGGCTTGTTGGAACAGGGCATGCTAGTGGCTTATCATGTCAGCAACCAAAATTCTCCTTTTTCAGCTTTGTGACCTAGCCTAGAAGAAATGCAGCCACAAAAAGAGAGTTTTAAGAGTGGGGATGGTGGGGATGTGTATGTGTGAATGCACACAAGTACATGCGGAAGGGAGCTGTGCATGTACTTCATTTCACACCCAAACGGCTGCTGTTTTAAAGAATTTGCTATTACCAAAAATTAGAAGAGAAGAAAAAGAAATTTTAAAAAAGGAACTCAAATAGCAAATACAACTTAGAATGATGCTATCCATGGCTCCCTTGTTCGACACTGGCAGGTTTGCGGATTCCACGTCTTTTTGCTGTGTGTAATTAAGCTCAGACTTGTACATTAGAGGCAAAGAGTCACAAGTACAAATCCTGGCCCCACAGCAGCTTAGTCAGTGCATGACTTTTAGAGACATGCTGACGCTCTCCGTTGTCCCATCTTTAATACAAACGTCCTACCTACTTCATTAGGCTGCAGTGAGGAGGCATGATACACTGTGGTCAGATAGAGTGCCAAACAGACACCCTGAAACAGAGGCCTTAGTAAGCAAGTCTAGAAGATTCGTCATATTCCTAATCATGATTTAGGTCTCTGAAAAATCATTCTCTCTATTCCCCTTGGACGCATGACTTATTTATTATTTTTACCAACATTCATTCTACTTACTGACTGTGTTAGACAGGGTTCTCTAGAGAGATAAAACCAAATTCCTGATAATATA